AAAAAAAAAAAAAAAAGTGTGGGGGTATGTCCCCAGATGGCGTCCTGAACATTGCAGGTTCTCATGGAGTTTTAGAGCCTGCCTGGCCTGCTGTGTTTGTCTTCATGGCTCAGGATTTGTTCTAGGAACTGAGACCTCAGAGAGCTTAACCAGTCAGGGCCAAACCCCCCTCACCATCTGTATATCTGAGTCCTTATCTCTAGCATTGCCCTCTCTCCTGGCCTCCATGCTCAGGCTCCACCTGCTCTCAGGCACCTCCTGGTGCTGATGCGGTTGCAATATCGCAATACTGGTTCTTATCCCTCTCAGCCTGCCCTTTCCCAAGGCTTCCTCCTTCTCTTTTGGACCGTTCGTTTCCCATCACCAGGATCTACCATGTTGATTCTTCCACCTCTCTTGCCAACCCGCGGAACCAAACCACCACTCTTTCGCAGGCCTTGACCACGGTAGTTGCCTCCTTGCAAGCAGGTCCCCAGCTCCAGCCGCCTGCCTGCCACAATCTGTTTGCCCGAAGGAACCACCAGAGGGCGCCTGTGCGCACCCGAATCCAGTCAGTACTCAGAACCCTCCAGGGCTCCCATTTTACCTGAGCAAAGTCAAAGTTCGGTAACTTTCCTGTGTCCAAATGGGACGTCTGAGGCCCCCTAGTGGAGCTCCCTCTGTGGAGAGGAACTGACTGAACATTTCCTTGATCCGTGGAGTTCATGGGTCAGATATCGCAAATTCAGTTAATAATAATAAAGTTTATAAGTGCCAAGACCACCCCCAAATTTAACTATGCAGAGGAGTCCTATAGACCCAGCTTTGAATCCCAGCACTGGCACTGCGTAACAGGGGAGGAGCGACACCTGTTGAAAAGGAGGGGGTTCTGACCCTCCCCTACATGGAAACCCACAGTGGGACACTTAAGGTGAAGTCCCTGAAACTAAACAAGAGTAAGCCAAGAGCCAACCGCAGAATACATCAGATTGTTTAAGGCGATATGAAGGACCACAGAGAGACCACCAAGTTACCTTGACTACTATCACCATTCTGACACATTTTCCTAAATCCAAAGGGAGCACTGACCATGACAGTACATACCCCCATATGATAACCTTGTCCCTGGGAATTTCAGTCAATCCTGGGCTCACTGACAAACCCCACTTTGGGGATTCTATGCTTTTTCCTCACCCCAGAGCTCAGAGTCCGGGGTAGACCCAGGCTCAGGGTGGCCTCCACCTGACCAGGTAGGATGGTCAGCAGGAAAGGGGAACCAAAAACAGGGGCCACTCACCGTGGAGATGGCAAACAGGGAGTTATCGAAGGACATGTCTGAAAAAGAAAGGAAAACCAGGATTGGAGCCAGTTTTCACTGTGCACCGCCCTAATCCTCTCACCTCTGCTCACATTCCCCAGTTCAAAGTCTATGGAGGGGCAAGGGTGGGACCCATCTCCCAGCAACCTCTCCCACTCCCTTCCCACCCATCCTGCAAGTGAGCAGTGAATCTAAACTACATTTTGAACCATGCCTCTGTCCCCAAGCCTTCTGTCAACTCCCACCTTTCAGAAGGAGCACTTATCAGCCCACACACTCCCCAGCCACCTCCATTGCTAGATGGCCCTCCTTGTCACCCAGGTATGCCATGCTTCTCTTAAACACTCCTCTCTGCTTAAACATGGCTTCCTCCAGGGGCTGCCTGCCTTTTCCCAGTTGGCTCGGACCGGCCATCCGCTCTTTCCCCAATGTAGTCTGGGCTGTCTTTCTTGGTCATCATAGAACACTCCTAGACCATAGTAGGCGCTCAATAAACGTGTCATGCAGTTAATCAAGCTTAGAGAATGAAGTTTTCTGCGCTTGGGCCCCTTTCAGAGAGCATCGCACATCACAGACCAGCTGCCTCCCGGCCCCCGTGGAGGCCAGAGGAATGACAGGGTACGCAGGGCAAGCAGGCCATTCACTGAAGACCCGCGGGACCCAGGCTTAGGCGGTCCTTCCAGGTGGAGCTGGCCGTTTAGCGGTGGAAGCAAGCGAGTTATTAAATACACAAGCATCCAGAGATTACTTTTTTTTTTTTTTTCAGTATTGGCAATGGAACCCAGGGCCTCTCGCAGGCTGGGTAAGCACTCTAGCATTGAAACTCAGACCCCGAAGATGATGTCATTGGCTTTCTACCAGGGGTAAGAACAACAAGGTAGTAGAGGCAGGTAAGTAGCAAGCACAGACCCTGTCTAGAGAGCCTGGTGACCAAGAGGAGGTGACTGAGACCCAGGAGATGGAGAATATTCTAGGCAGTGGGCGGAGCCAATGAAAGGCAGGTGCCTGGGACCGGGAGAGAAAGTGAGAATCCAGGGAAAGGAGGGTGAGGGTGTGTTTTGACCCTAACAGGGAACAAACAGCTGCAGAAAAGGTTCAAGTCACCATAGCATTTTGAAGCAGTGACCTCATCCTGTGGAGGTCAGGAGCAAGGAGCACAAACCTGAGGTGGTGAAGTTAATCTGGGCCCAACAGGATTCCTGTTCTCTGCAAAGAGATTCAGAAGAAAGGTTGCCTCATGAGACAGGAGGCTTCTGGAAAGTCCTAGACCCAAACCAGGCACAATACTGGGTCTTTGACCCCCTGCCCACCTACACATCCTACCCACAAAGTGACAAAGCAGTTAATGCCCTGATTTCCAGAGCTATCACCCTGGGCAACAGTCCTTGGCTGTCAAGAACCAGGCTCACTTCTAGTGCAATTTGGCACTGTACAACCCCAGCGGGATCCAGAATAGCACAACAATTCCTGGCAGCTGACTGTAAGGGGAAGACTAAGCCATTTGCTCCCTGAGTGACTAAGCACTGAGCCTCTGTCCTCTCATCTGTAAAATGGGGTTATTCATTCTTCCTACTTCCAGGGCTGTGAGGATAAGGTGGGATCACTTCTAGCACAGTGCCCAACACCTAGTAGGTGCTTAACAAATACCACCTGTCTTTGTTCATCAACTCTCCCACCAGAGGGTGCTGTTTGCAGTGGAAAGCCCACCCAGCCAAGGGAGTACCCTTCTGATCCCAAAGCATTCTATGAGGGTCCCTAGGGATGGTCTTACCGTTTTCTCTGTAAATTTTTTATTTTCACTGAAAAATAAATAAACAAGCATTTGTTAGATTATGGTTCTGATTGCACCAAACAAGTTTCTGCACCAAACAAGTTTCTTCACCCAAGAAATCTAAAACTCCTTTTTACCTTTGTAACCCAGTCTTGCCTCTCTGTGGCAAATTTGTGAAACTTACTGCTAACAAACACTTTTGTTTCTTTTTTCTAGATGGGGTCTCACTGTTGCCCATATAGTCACCTCCAACTCACCATTCTCCCGCCTCAGTCTCCTGAGTAGCTGAGTCACATGTTCACCACGCCTGAATCCTTTTTTTTTTTTTTTTAATTCTTCAATTACAATAGTAATGTATGTTGGTAAAACCCTTAAGCAAGGAGCTGGGTCTGTGGCTCAGTGGAAGAGTGCTTGCCTAGAATGTGTGAGGCACTGGGTTCAATTCTCAGCACCACATATAGATAAATTAATAAAATAAAGGTGCATCAACATTTAAGAAAAATTTAAAAAATAAAGAAAGAATAGGAAAATAAAGTATTTAAAAAAAACTTCAAGCAAGGCACAGCATGTGACATTGTTTTTCTTAAAAGAAATGGGGATGCACACCTTTAATTGAACTGATTTGGGAGGCTGAGGCAGAAGGATTTCAAGTTTGAGGCCAGCCTGGTCAACTTAGCAAGGACCTGTCTCAAAGTTATATATACACATTTGGTACCAGGGACTGAATCCACTGTTTAACCACTGAGCCACATCCCCAACCTTTTTAATATTATTTAGAGACAGGGTCTTGCTGAGTTGCTTAGGGCCTTAATAAGTTGTTGAGGCTGACTTTGAACTTGTGATTCTCCTGCCTCAGCCTCCTGAGCCACGGGTATGTGTGTGTATGTGTGTTTGAGTTGCTATAAATATATTTGAGTTTTAGTGGTTGCCAGGAGCTGAAGCTGGAGGTGGAGGGAATGGGAAATTATTGCTTAATGCGGATAGAGTTTCAGTTTGAGATGATGAAAAAGTTCTAGAGATGGATGGGGGTGATGGTTGCACAATAATGTGAATGTACTGAATTGCTATGGAGATTTTACCACAGTCAAAATATCATGGCTATGCGACTAGGTGCACATCTGTAAGCCCAGCAACTCAGAGGGCTGAGACAGGAGGATCACAAGTTTGAGGCCAACCTGGGCAATTGTTTATTTACTTATTAGTTGTCAATGGGCCTTTACTTTATTTTATTAATTTATTTATATGTGATGCTAAGCACTGAACCCAGTGCCTCACACGTGCTAGGCAGGTGCTCTACCACTGAGCCACAACCCCAGCAGCCCCTGGACAACTTACTGATGTCTCTAAATAGAAGTCTAAATGGGGCTGAGGTAGTGGAACATCTCGGGGGTCAATCCCCAGTACATATGTACACTCAAGTTGTTCCAGTACCTGTGGGAATTGCTTCCAGGAACCCCCAAAATATATTAAAATCTATGGATGCTCAGGTTCCTTATATAAAATGTGACTAGGTTATTCACACCCTCTGTAGACTTATTTTACATTTAAATTTTTTTGTAGTTGTAGATGGACAGGATGCCTTTATTTTTAATTATAATTTAATTTTTTTATGTGGTGCTGAGGATCGAACCCAGTGCCTCATGCATGCTAGGCAAGTGTGCTGCCGTTGAGCTACAGCCCCGCCCTCATTTTACATTTTTATTTTTTTTGATACATCATAATTCTGTGGGACTCACTGTGCCATATTTGTACATGTAGATAACTGTTTGATCAGTCTCTTTCCCCAGTTCCTTTCTTTTCCCTTTTTTCCTCTCTCCCCCTACCTGCTTGCTCGAATCTACTGATCCCCCTTTTATTATTACTATTATTATTTTAATTAGTGCATAAGAATTACATACATATAAGTAGGATTCACTGTGGTATTTCATACATGGATGTAGCATAATTTATAGATTTCATTCCCTGTACTTCCCCTTGTCCTCCCTTCCTCCCTCCCTCTTGATAATCTTCCTCATATTCTACTGGTCTCCCTTCTAGTTCTCCTACAGACTTAAAAACATCTCCAGATGCCTTATTTTCTATTTTTTTGGTACTCGGGATTAAACCCAGGGGCACTTAACTATTGAGACACATCCCAGTCCCTTATATTTGTAAATTTTGAGACAGGGTCTCACTCAGTTGCTTAGAGGCTTGCTAATTGCTGAGGCTGGTCTTGAACTTGCAATCCTCCTGCCTCAGCCTCCCAAGTCACTGGGATTATAGGCATGCACCAAAACCACACCTGGCTCTAGATGACTTACAATACCTGATAAAATGTATACACAATAAAAAGAATTGTTATACTGAGAATAATGACAAGAAAAAAGAGTCTGCACGTGTTCACAAAGATGCCAAATATTCCCCTTTTGCAGTGCTGGGGATGGAGCCCAGGGCCCTGTACATGGAAAGCACCTGATCTGCGGTTGGGCTGCACCTCTGCCCCTAAACACAAATTTTCCCTCCAAATCTTTTCAATCCATTATGGGTTGAGTCTGCAGATATGGAATCCAGGATATTGAATCTGTCGATAGGGAGGACCCATTGGACAAAGCCATTCTACAGAAGGGACTTGAGCATCCATGGTTTGGGGTATCCATAGAGGAACCTGGAAACAATCTCAAGAACAGTCGTGCATCGGTTTGCCCTGCTCACCACCAACATCTCTCCTATGGACGGTTCCTTCACTGCTAATTTGCAGAATTTAGACCTCCCCAAATGGCCTGTCTCTGTGCGTGTCTCTGTGCCATGTGCTTACGGGCACATACATGGGTATGTGCCCGTAAGCACATGGCACATTCAGAGATGCCGGCCGGCAGCACGGGGCCCTGTCTTTTTTAAGCACTCTCACCTCTCCTGACCACCACAGCAAAAGCAGCCAGACCAGTGAGGAGGAGGAGGGCTCCAGCCAGGCTCAGCGAGAGGGCCAGGATCCAGGTGGGCACTAGAGGAAACAGGAAGAGAGCAAGTGGGCAGGTCAGGAGCTGCGGGGGGAGAGTGGGGCCTCTGTCATCTCTCCAGGGTACTTTGAGGTGCCAGCCCTCTCCAAGAGGACCTCCTCCCAACCATGAGATTTGGGTGTAGCTGGACCCTGGGAATCAGCCAATTGGCATATATCTGGCCAATTAGCATTAGCATATTTCCTCCCCCTGTCCCTGTGATTGGTTCAGACATGGAGTGTGGCCCAAGCCAAGACAATGAAAGGTAATCCTGGGATTTTGCAGGGCCACTGAGAGAAAAGGATTATTCCTTTGGCTTGTATTGTACCCCTCTGATTGGATATTTCTCTGGGGCTTCTGGGCATGATTTTGCTACCATGATGTTGGGGACCTGCCTGAAAATAAACCTAGAACAAAGCCAAGTTGAGAGGTGGCAAATAATTCCTGACAACTTCAAGCTTCTGGATTCAGCCGCGCCTGAAGCCCTAATATGAACCGACTTCAGTTCAGTAAACCAACGAAATCTCCCTTGGTTTCTGAAGCCAGTGTGAGTCAGGTTTTCAGTTACTTGCCACCTGAAGAGCCCTGCTTGTCCTAGCTATGAAGGGGTCAGTTGACATCCACCCCAAGCCACACAGAGATTCACACAGAGGTCAGCTGCCTCCTGGAAGAGAGAGAGGATCTCTTGAGGGCCCTGGGAGGAGGTCCCCTGACCCCAGTGGAGGTCAGAGCTGTGGAGCCGGGAGGGGAAGGAAAGATGTCCGGGGGAGAGTCCAACAGTGGTAGGCCTTGTCCACTCATTCGCCTGGGGTGGGAGGGCTGTTGTCACCTCCCCACTCTCAGACCACAAGGCTAAGGTGAGAAAAGGGAGCCTTTGACAGAGGAGCTTGAGGCCAGAAAGGGCACAGAGAACCCTCTGTCATCACAGCTCGAAGACTGGCTGGTAACAAGTTCCTCTTTGCAGTGGGAAAGTCCTGGTGATGGAGGGCTGGAGACACTCCCTCCTCCCTCTGCCCCCTCCCCTGCGCCCCCAGTCTCCCCGCCCCTCCCCATCTCCCCCGCAGGGTGGGGGGCTTGCTGGGAATTGAGCCTAGGGCTTGTGCATGCCAGGAAAACACTCTACCACTGAGCTACCTCCTTAGCCCCATCCCTTGGCCTCTTGATCCACAACCCATGCCCAACCCCCTCTCCTGGAAAGACCAGAGAAAGACATTAGCCCTCCCAGGGCTCCCTTCTCACTCAGATGGAAAGCTGAAGTCCTTGCTGCAGCCCACTAAGCTCTACGTGATCCTTCTTACCACCTCTCTTCCCTCGTCTCCCTACACATTCTTCCTTGTTCACTGTACTTAAGCCATTCTGGGGTCCTCTGTGCTTCTCAAACACACAAGGTACGCTTCAGCCTCAGGGCCTTTGCACAGCCTATTTCCTCTTCTTGCTATACTCTTGCCATCGAAATCCACATGGCTGGCTCCTTCTCATCATTCAGATCTTTCTTTTCTTTTTTTCCAATACGGGGTCTCATGATATCACCTCACCTGGCACCAAACTCCTCAATTGAAGTGATCCTCCTGCTTCAGCTTCCCAAGTAGCTGGAACTACAGGCAAGCCCTACCACAACCGACTTTATTCAGATCTTTTCTCCAAATAACCTCTTCAGACAGGTCCTCCTTGGTCACTCTACTCTCCCCTTAAAATGACACCTTCACCAGGCTGTGTATCATCCTTGGGCACTTCATTGGCACACTGAATATTTATTGGATCCTGGGTTTATCATCTGTCCCACCCCCTGGGAACATCTGTCGAAGGAGGTCAGGAACATTGTTTTGTTCCCTGCTGGACCTCCAGTGATAAGGAGAGACTCTGATGCACAGTTGATGAGCAAACATGTTGGGTCCAGGAAGGGGAAGGTGTGTTGGACGGTGGAGATTTTTTTTTCAATGCTGAGCATGGAACGCAGGACTCCCGTGTGCTAGGCAGGTGCTCTGCCCCTGAGCTACTAGCACGGAAGCCCAAGGTCTGGAGTTTGAGGGGCTGCTGGCCTCCCAGCTCTGCTACCTGTGTGCCTTGGGCAAGTCCTTGTGCATCGTGTTTCTTATCTACAGAAAGAACAATCACTGCACCCACCTTGGAGGGAAGCTATGAGGACAGACAGGGAAAGGTGAGTGACCCCTGGCCAGTGGTAGGCCTGGCCTTCCTGTGAAGACCTCCCAGGAGAGGGAACAGCATCTGCTGCAGCTGGGTGAGCCCAGGGGAGGGCTTACCTGGGAAGGAGACGTGCACCGGCTGGCTGAGGTCCGACAGCTGGGGCTGGCTGTGCTCACCCACCACACTGTACTGGCACCAGAATTTCCCTCCAGAAGCCGTGCCACCGCTGCTCAGGTTGAATATGACCCCCAGCTGGTTGGCTGGGGCCTGCAGGAGCTGGACAATCTGTCCCTCTCGGTACAGTGTGAAATTCACCCCCAGGAAGTCCTTGGGGGCTGTGCATGAGATGTGGATGGGGTCCTCTTGGCTCTTTGGGTAGGGGGGCACCAAGAAGATGGCTGGTGCTGGGATGGCCAAGGAACCTGCAATGCAGGATCAGGGGAGGTGGCAGTGTGGGTGCATGGTTGGAGAGCACTGTGTGATCTCTAGCAAGCAGGTCACTTCTCTGGACCTTGTTTTGTTTTCATTTTAGTTCTGGTGCTGGGGACCCAACCCAGGCCTTGTGCATGCTTAGCCTGTACTCTACCACTGAGCTGTACCCCCAGGCCTTGGGCCTTGTTTTTTTGTGCACCAGGAGGCGGGCAATCTCTCCCCATTGCAATGTTCAGAGCATTGGGTGCCTGGCGCATCATGGGGGTCACAGTGGTTGAGTCTTTTGTAATGATGGCCTTGGTTATTATATAGTGTCCCAAGTACACTACTTCAATCAGCAATGCTACGCACCAGACCCTGTTCAAGGTGTTGGGGACAAAGTAATGAAGGAGACAAATGAAGAGACATGCTTGTCTCAGGCAGCTGATGTTCTTTCAAAGAGACAAAGAGTTCTGGGCAATGGGAGAGTTGCATGGGCTGGAGGGCTTCCTGGAAGAGGTGTCATGTGAGTTGAGTTGTAGCAATGAAAGAGTGGCATGAGCTGGGTGACAGCCTCGAAGGCCAAGATGATGGCAAGGGCAAAGGCCCAGAGGATGGTTGGACACGGGGTGAGTTTAAGGAGGGGTGAGTCAAACTGGGGGTACCATTCAGTGGTAGAGCACTTGCCTACCACACGCAAGGCCCTGGGTACTATCCTTAGTGGAAGGAAGGAAGGAAGGAAGAGAATCCAGGAAAGGTGAGGAGGCGGGTGGCTGGGGGGAGTTGAGCAAGGGAGAAAGCAGCGGCAAATGGGGGGAGGGCCCACCTTCTCCCCAGGGTGTGCTGAGGAGTGTGGGCCTGGACTGGGGCTCCTGCAGAGGAAGCCGCACCCAGGGAGGAGTTGCTCTCCAGCTGCCCACAGGCCCCCAAGCAGAGTGGCCCCCCATGGCCCCTGTGGCTAGTCTGCCCCCAGGCAGGCGCTCCTGCTGCCCCAACGTCTGCTGTCAAAGGCAGGAGCCTGTGGAGGCCAAGTGGGGCTGAGGCAGGGGCTATAGGCAGCTCTCTTGACTGGGACACAAGGAGGAGCCTAAGAAGAAAAGGCTGAGAGGTTTCTAAGGCTCTCAAGCAAATCAGTCCAGGATGAGCCTCCTCCATCACTGCGGATGAGCAACCTCACTTGGGATCTGTCCTCAGAGCAGCGACATGGGCAGGAGACGGGGGAGCAGGCTGGGGGTGCCGGAGGGGCCATAAGACTCACCAGCTGCAAAAAGCAGGACAGTCCAAGGCATCTCTCCTCCCGCGTTTGGCCAGGAAATCTGGCTGGGACCAGAGGGTCCAGGGCTCCCCGCCAGCTCCTCCTGTGAGGCCAGAGCAGGGAAAGGAGAACCAGGGCTAATTCGAGCTGAATGTTTCCTCAGTGGCAGGAAGTTGCACACACACTCAGGCACTGAAAGGGACTCTCTCTTCTCCCCACCCCTTCCCTAAATGCACAGCATAGCGGACCCAGCCCTGTGCAGTTCTGTAGATTGGAGGGAGCATGACTGAGATAGTGAGGTATTTGTTTTTTCCCTCCCTCCACCTAAGAGAACCCCCTTGCCCGAGGAAGGGTGGCAGCAGGGGCTACTTGGGAAACTCATGCCCAAGGCAGAAACCACAGCCCAAGCAATAGCAAGATGGAAATAAACGTGGGGTGCAATGTGGTAGGGCATGGTGGTTAGGGTTTGGCCTCTGACTGCAGGTGAGGGCTGACTTCTCTGAAGCTTCAGTTTGCTGCCCTGTCGGATGGGGCTAAGATGAGTGGACATCAGATTCAAAGAACTCATGGCATAAGACAATGCTAGGGGGCAGTGGGTGCTCCCAGTCGGCATCTACAGGGAGAAGGCTCTGGGCTTCACCAACCAGGGAAAAAGTAACATTTGTCTAGAATTGAGGAAATGGCATAGTTTGCAGGATTTCTTGCCTCCTGTTTACAGCCCAGAAACTTCTAAGTTTCTGTCTTATGGGTAGATGTGCTTTGGTCTTGCTATATGTTTTTATTTAAGCCAAACAGCTCCAGCTCCACACTGAGAAGGAGGCAGCATATGGTCACCAAAAGACAAAAAAACATTAGAATGGACTTTTTCCTATGGACACACAAAGCTCATCCCAGCCCTAGGGTATTTGCACTTGTTGTTTTCCTTACCACAATTCTCTCAACCAGGTGGAATACCACTTTTCCTTTAGGTCTCAGCTTAAATATCACTTCTGGAAAACCATTCCAAGCTCCTCTGGACTCTTCCCTTATTGAATTTTTCTATAGTGCCCTGTGATCTTTGTTTGTGCAATTGCATTTTTAAAATTAATTAATTAATTAATTTATTT